CTTGAGAACCTACGCTGTCACTTGGAAGCAACATGAATAGTTGGATTAGAGTGTAACCAAGATTCTTTTAGGATGGCGGAGTTGGCGCATGCCATTCCGGCGGTGGACATGATCAATGCCACGTCGAGGCTTCAGATTGAAGCCGCTGAGGTTTGTTCGTTGTTTACTCAATTTTTTTGCTAGTGTGCATGCACAGAACCAGATTCACAATCTTTTGTTCAGGTCCGCGCTAGTAAGCCAAACTGGGGTTCCTATTTGCGTTCGCAGATGATTCCGCAAGAGGACTATAACTTCATCTCTGCATACGAGAACGCCAAGGTACTGTACTCTTTCTAGTTCATCCTCCCGCTTTTCTTCTTTAAATACTTTTCTTTTCTGTTTCATTTGTTGATATTGCATTTGGAGCGATTTTTGGGTGTATTTTGGCGCATTCGTATAGTAGTAGGGGTTATCCCTAGAACTGCTGACACCAAGTTGATGGTGGTTTTTGTAGCAAACCTAGCATGACGGTTTTAACTTGAAAGCACGATTTTGCTAAGATCTGGTCATACGCTGATCAGTATTGCCTATGTTGAATGATAGAGTGGTTGATTTTGCACTTATCTTTCGTAACTTATCCGCCGGGTTGTGAACACTTTTTTCTCACATAGAAATGCCCTAGAAAAAGAAAACGGAGTCAGCAGATGACATAAAAGCGTTGGAAAATGAGAGCAAGGCCGAACATTTTGTCACTTGAAGGGACAGCAGTAGCAACGTTAATAGTGATAAAATATAGAGTCAGAAGTCTGGCTCCACCTTTCAGTTCCCCACGTTGTTCAGCTTATTTAAGACATAGCTTTCTGGACTTGGAGCAGAAGATCTTTGTATATGTGATAGTACCTCAAACGACAATGAATGATCTTGTCGTAATTTTATATCGGTCCATTCATATACGTACAATATCAGATCATACGCGTTCTTTAGAGCAAAGAGGAACGTGACACAGTTCTGGCTGCGAACGACGCCAATGGACAAGCTGCACGAACGATCGTGAATCTCATTACCAATGTTGCAAAGGATCAGAACGTGCGCTATGTATTGACGCTCCTCGATGACATGCTTCAGGTATGCGTTTCTGCATGTTTTAATTTTTTT